TGTTTACCTATTGCCTCAAGTATAAGAACGGCCAATGTTTATATATAAACTCAAGTATGTCTATTTATCGACTCAAATATAATCTTTACCCTATCAAGTAGAATAATAAAAACATATTTCAACATCAAATAACCAAACAAGAGCTGATATGTGATAAAAGTAATTAGAGCAACATTTTATTCTGTTTCTTTGTATGCCAGAATGGTGCAACACATTCTTCCTTTCAATTTCCCTTTCATTTAGTGTTGCCTGCCATAACAAGATGTGTGCCAGGTAAACAATAATCGGGTTTTTACTGGCGCATATTGATAAACACTGGTTGGGTTAATACTTGAGTCTCTATGTAAACATTGGTTGGTTTCATATTTGAATCTATACGTAAACATTGGGCAGGTTTATATTGGAATCTATAGGTAAATATTAGTTGCGTTTATACTTGAGTCTATAGGAAGATATACTTGAGTCTATATGTAAACATAGGTCGGTTTCATGATGAGTCTACAGGTAGACATTGGTCGGGTTAATACCTAAGTCTATAGGAAGACATACTTGATTCTTCACGTAAACAGTGACAGGTTATATACTTGAGCCTCTAAGTAAACATTCGTTGGGTTTATACGTGAGTCAATAGGTAAACATTGTTTAGGTTTATACTTGAATCTATAGGTAGACATTCGTTGGGTTTATACTTGAGTCTATAGGTAGACATACTTAAGTTTATCTGTAAACATTAGTCAGTTTTATAATTGAGTCTGTAGGAAAAACATTGGCTGGGCTTATAGTTGAGTCTATTAGTAAATATTGGTCAGGTTTATACATGATTTTAAAAGAATGAAATAAGCAAACTAAAGACCAAAACCTGTAGCATTAACTTTAAACAAAAGAATTGGGAAGAGTCTGTTTCCTCCTTCCCCGGCTTCCCTTAATTCTCTTGTGGCCTTTGTAAGCAACTATTATACACATGGTCAGAAGATCGCGTAAAACATGAAATTGAGACTCACCATGCAATTTTGATGTCATATATATATATATATATATATATATATATATATATATATATAATAATAATAATAATAAAGCCAAAATATAAATAAATTCAAAAATATAAGCTACCATTCTTGGGTGTTCTTGTGGAGTCTAGTAATAATACATTCACTATTTCATTATAGAAAAAACTCACAAATAGAAACTCTTACCATCTTAATTTTATTAGTCAATGTCCACTTAGATATAAAATAAGCGTTATAAAAGATTTCCTCTTGAAAGCGCACGAGAATTCATCCCCCGTCCGATTTTCTTTAAAGAACTTAACAGCATGAAACAAACGCTGGTCGATAAGTTTTCCGTATTACATAATACATCACCAAAATAGGTTTTCTCTAAATTAACCAATAGTAACACTGAACATAAACATAAAAACAATAACATTAACATTTTTTATGAATATCAAATGCATGGTAACTACGTATAATTCATGGTAACTAGGTATAAGCAAGATGGATATTCGCTTAGAAACTTTATAAAGTTTATACAACTTCAGTAAAGAAAAACAAGAAAATTAAATTAATTATCTACTATAAAACTAACCTCATCGCCAATAATAATAACTCACCTACAAGATCCAAATTACAGAGAATCAATATTATTTACGAATTCACATGTCCCTTAAGAAACTGTGCTCTTAACCAAACCAAATTCATTACATTGGATACACTACAACATGCCTAACAAGAAGCCTCACGTTACATCTCTCTGACCATAGCCCAATTATGTCTCATTTAAATATACATGTCAATTTACCAAAGATAATCGTTGATAATACAAATATAATAGCCTCATCTACATAAAAATAGAAGCTAGAAATAATGTAAGCATTGTTAATAAAAAGCCAATAATCAATAACATCAGTTATGAACATGGCTAGTATGTACTGACCATGTTCAAAAAATATTACTATAACTCTAGATACATGCATAAATAAACACGTATTCGGTTAAAATGAAAAATAAAATCATCCTTGATAATGGCTGAAAGTATAACCGAAAGCGCTCGGACATTGAGAACATTCGGACAATTTCTACAGAATTTATGTCCAGAAAACAGAAAATTATAAGAACACAAGAATAAATAAAATAAAAAAAAAACTTAACCGTAGCACCTTGTCAGTCGTTTTTAATTAAACTTATATAAAAGAGGAATTAAATATATATATATATATATATATATATATATATATATATATATATATATATATAAATAAATATATAGACAAGTGTTGTCTATTTATTTTATAAATTCTTTTATAACGTCGATGATTTTAATAACATTATCATTAAACGAAGAAAGAAACGTTTACTGATAATGTTATTAAGCTTATCAGAAGATATGAAAAGAATTTACATAAAATAAATAGACAACACTTTTCTATATTATTTAATGAAACGTGTATGAATGAAAAAATGCTGCCTAAATACACACAATATGTATATATATATATATATATATATATATATATATATATATATATATATTGAAAGATCGAGTTAGAATTTTGCGATGATTCACGCGTTAAGACCTCGATATTTCTTTGGGTCCTGAAGAACGAAGCATCACGAAACTTTGAGTCGATCTTCGATAAGTATCGTTGACTTTCAATATTTTTTATAGAATAATTATTGCTCTCGATAGGTGTTTTTAGGACTTTATTGACAAAAATTCGGTTCACCTTGACATACGTTAATTTATATAAGTTAACGTACAACAATTTTCGTTAATATATATATGTATATATTATGCACTGTTACATTAGAACATGTAAATACCCACTACAAAACTGTACATCTTGTTTCAACGTTAAAAAATTAACGTTTCTTCTGGTGGGAAATCACGATGCTATAAAAATATTTTATTCCGATATACAATTAGAAACATCGTGGGTATGTATATGTTCTAATGTACCAGTGCATAATAAAGAAATATTTATTGCTCTACTTTTGAATTGAGCCCTCTTTTAAATTAATGTTTTGAACGCTGAAATCTTACTCTTCGTTCTTTTACATTTGGATATTTATTTATATATATATATATATATATATATATATATATATATATATATATATATATATATATTTGAATAAAAAACAGACCACTTTAAGGTTCCATGTAATAAATTATTACCTGGTGTAAATTTCTTTTCATCTTTCATTTCAACCTTTGGAAGTAAAGTCTGATGATCTGCAGTCCTTTAAAAGGGCTGTGGTGAAATAATTTATTACATGGAACCTTAAAGTGGTCTGTTTTTTATTCAAACATATTTGCTCTGAATTTACATTGAGCTCTCCGGATATCATCCTCCTTGGGTCTACCCATACGGATTACCTAGTTTTGCATAAACTAAATAAATAAATATATATATATGTGTGTGTGTGTGTGTGTGTGTGTGTGTACTACTACTACTAATAATAATAATAATCTTATAAATATAAGCAGCTATACTCGTCTGGCAAAACCTTAGATATTCTAGCATATAAATGAACAAACCAATACCCAAGGAAGAAAAGGGTAAAAATGAAAGAACTAAGAACATATGGTTCCGAGTCCAGAGTCCAAAGAAAAAACCTCCGACACGAGTAAAAATTAAAAATAACTAAGCAATGTGCTCAATACGCTAAGTAGAGCAAACTAAGTAAACCTAAAGAGACAGACAAACCTGCCTAGGTTTCACCTACGCGGATCGTCAGGGTGAACTTGCTAAAGATGTGCTATAAAAACAGAAAATATATAGCCTACAACACATGACCATGTGAACAAAAAAAATCAAAACAAAAAACAAACAGTAACACAACAACGGGAGCGGGGTGAACCTATTTATTCAAAAACGTAATATATATATATATAAGGTAGGTAGGTAGGTAGATAGGTAGGTAATGAAAAGTTTGGTAATCCGTATGGATAATCCCAAGGAGTATGTAATCCAGAGAGCTCAATGTAAAACCAGAGCGGATATTAATTTAATTAAAATTAAAAAACAGACAACCTTAAAGGTCCGTTGATTATATTTTATTTCCCTAATGGTTTAAAATTAATATATATATATACATAAAGAGAAGCCACGTATACTTTCTTAATATGTATATATATAGAAAAAGTTGCACATTAAAAAAATAATAATGTTATTATTTTTTTAATTTGCAACTTTATATATATATATAATAGATATTTCCTTCCTTTTTTTCTCTCTCTTTTTCCCTACCTCCTTTTTATCCCGATATATCTGTCTGGATGGATTGATTTCATTTCTTTATATAATATATATATATATATATATATATATATATATATATTTCCTGTATTTATAGAAGAGTACCCACTCTTCTGCTCGTGGAATATATATTTATACCAGATTGCATTAATTGTATTTTAACACAGTGTATAATGACATGTATTTTAGACTTTTCCATGTACATTATCGATAAAATAAGAAAATTAATAATAGTCTGGTATTTAAAAAAATGTGGTCTTTATACAAGTTCCATAAATGGAAAAAAAGGGTTATATTTTTGGAAAGAATGTTTGTAAATAGAAACAGTATGGACAAGAAAACACAATAGCCACTATATTGTTGTTCACGCTTGAAGTCGTTATTAGAATATATATATATATATATATATATATGTGTGTGTGTGTGTGTGTGTGTGTGTGTGTGTGTGTGTGTGTGTGTGTGATTGAATAAATTAAAAAAATATATCTGCTTATTTTGATCATAATCCTTTCATATTCACGAATATTTATGCGTAAATTCTTAAATAAGGAAATAAATGCACTGGAACAGTGAAAATCACTTTTATTTCCCAAGTACTTCCCATTTTTTATTGGGAAATAAGTGATCCTCACTTTTACACTGCATTTCTTATAATCTGTGGAGAGCCATGTACACTAACGCCCTGAAGGGACATAGAAGGGACAATATTTCAACAGTATGTCTGTTTTCTTCAATTTTTTTAAATTTCTGAAATAAGATCCTGATAACTCGCGCAGCGTGAAAGAAAGAAAGAAAGAAAGAAAGAAAGAAAGAATAGATAGGGAACAAGAAAGACTGAATGTTTGTTAGAAAGAAAGAGAAATAGATATAGGAGAAAGAAAGAAAGAAAGAAAGAAAGAAAGAAAGAAAGAAAGAAAGAAAGAAAATTGTCGTCTGCAAAAAGACGAAAGATATTTTTCCTTCAAAACAAGAAGTAAAATAATGCAAACGAATCCAAAAAAGTGACTGAAATACAAAATTCCCGACCATTTTGTTATGACAAACAAAATTAATCCGTTCTTTCTGAGAAATGTTTTATTTCAATTCTGGACACGTCGCTCGTCTCGTAAAATGATAAACAAATCTAAATCGAATATGGCAGGTTATTTAATCGTTGTACGTGAATCATCAATTTTCGCCTGCATTTTCGATTAAAACAGCCGGCCATTAACAACAACGTCAATCGACTTTAAATGAAGACAATATTTATTGTCAGTTTGAGAAAAGCAAACGATATTTTTTACCTTAACAAATTGTTCTTGAAACTCGAGCCAATATATTATTATTATTATTATTATTATTATTATTATTACAGCAGTTAAGAGAAGGGTGCGATTTAAGAAAAGAAAAAGAAAAGAAAAACATAACAGTGACAATTTTAAACAATATTTCAACTGTAAGTCTTCTTCAAGCTAATTTTTTTTTAATTTTCAAGTATAAAAATATATAACTCTACAAAAAATTATAATTCTTTGTACAAATATTGCCTGTTTACGATTCATTACTGACTGAATACAATAACTGTGGCACAAGGCCCAAAAAAGAAAGGGATGGATCAAGGTTGGTCGACGCTATCTTATACCTTGCTAATCAGATTCCCGATCCATTCATTCATGAAAATTTACTCATTCGCCATAAAAATCTATCCGTCACCATTCGCTCCTACACACACCAAAATACCCCACACACAAACAGGGTCCCTACTAAAAAAAACTCCCCATGACTTAAAATATCAATATGTACAATTGTGTATACAAAAATATATATATAAATTATATCAATGAAATGATGGTCGGAGTAATGACCCCGAAAAACTGAAAATTAATGATGTTAGTAGGACCCGTCCACTAATTAAAAATTAAGAGTGACCGCTGTATTCTGTATTCTGACAAAATCAAAAGGCTCTCTCGCTAAGGGAGGGGGAAAGAAAAAATTATGAGCATTAGAAAATTCAAAAACTGACCCAGTGGAGGTAAGAAGATCAGGCCAAAACAAACTGGGAAGGATGGATCATAAGGGCGAAAGCGAGAACAAGGCCGAGAACGACATTGACTCACGTTAACTAGGTACACTTAGAGAAGTCTATATTAACCAGAGGAGGGCTCTTCGGGATACTATCCTATTGTGACTTAGGGGGACTTAAAAGAAAAGAAAATCAAGGGTAGCTCCGTTTACGTGAACCAGGCTTGCCACAATTACCCAACTTTCGTTGAAATACCAACCGCTTTCTATAAGTTCTAATCTTCATTTTAAGAATCTGATCAGATTCTGATGAGAATAGTGATCACATTGCATGATTTTCTTCATCCGCGTCGTCCAAATCAACATTCTAGCCGTGGCCAACAGCGTCAGACACACCACCTGTTACACCCCAAAATACGAGGGTGCAACGCATTGTCACACGCGTATGAGCGATTCATGAACACGAGCTTTTAGGGAGCCATATGCTGCTTGTCTAAGATTTATTACTGGTACACTAATTCTGGCACAAGGCCGAAAAAGGGGGAACTGGTCAAGCTTGGTTATCACTAGCTATCTTATACCTAGCTAATCGGATATACGATCCATTGATTCTTTACAATATACTCATTCTCAATAAGAATTTTGTTGTAATGGAATGTCCCACAATCCCTATCGCCTATGTGGACTGACTATATCAGTAGTTATATATAGTGAGCACAGGAGCTACTGGTTTGATTTACCAGTGGTTTAAATATCATTCCCGGCAGTGGAGATTTGGGGGGTCGAACTCTCTGTAAATATCATAGTGCCACCGGCCCCTTCGGCAATTCGGTTTTGGACGGCCTTGTGCCACATCCTGTCTCGCGGTGTGGAGCAGTGTTTGCTTCGGCGCTTGTCGAACTCTGCCTTCGAAGAGAGTAAAGAGAGGGAACCCAGACGTGGGGACAGGGTCAGGTCTGGGATGGTAGATAATTACCTGACCCTGTTGCTATAAATATTTTTTCGGGATTACCTTGAGATTCGTCTCAGGGAAATTTTGAACTTGTTCTGGCAGAGAGGGCTCTGGTTTGTCCCATTTTTTTACGGCATTAAATAACGGCCTAACCCTGTGCCACATCCTGTCTCGCGGTGGGAGAGGTAAATAACCTTGTCCGGGAATTTACTAGCCAATTAGTTGAGCCCATGTTTCTGTTCCTTTCCCTCGAGTGTCCTTTGTATGTTTGTAACCTTCTTTAAGGTTTGTCGAACAAAATACCTCCACCTACTGGGGAAAAACCATGCCATGAGTTAAAAACCCAGATGAAAGAAATGATGTAGAGGAGATGATTTTGGTTAATAAAACATTATCATTTAAAATAAAGATATAAAGAAAATCACCATATTGATACATTTTTTTAAGTTTCCTATTTTATATAAATTCTTTTCATATCGTCAGACGATCATGAAAAGATGAAAGAAAATCACCATATTAAAATAGATCAGACGATGTGAAAAGAATTTACATAAAATAGACAAAACTTGTCTATATTATTTAATGAAACATGCATCAATGAAAAAATGCTGCCTAAATACACACACTATATATATATTAATATATGTTTGTTGTTATACGTTATTCTTATAGATACAAGTATTTAAGATAATGGCTTATGTAAGCATCGAAAGGTCTTGTATCGTGAATTAGTGGAAGGGGTCGCGAAGGATCCTCTCTGTCGGCGGCTCGACTTGTCGTTGACTGAGTTGCGCACTTTCTGGTTTTGGGCTCCAGCGGCGAGTTACCTCAGTAACCCCGAGTTTTCGCTTACCTGGCGATTGATTCGGAACATGCTACCTCTCAATGACAGGTTCTTCAGATAGGGCTGGGCGGATTTGCCCGACTGTCATCGGTGTGACCTTGGCTTAGAGGAAACCGTTTCACACGCCTTCTACCATTGTCCTCAGGTAAGCCTTTTCTGGGATTATGTCGGCGTGTCGACAGCTCGTATTTGCTCCCGATGTTCTCGTGCTCATTGATCTCGCATACGTGTGCGATAATGTGTTGCCCCCGTTTTTTGGGAAGAAACGAATGGTGGTTCTGACGCTGATAGCCATGGCGTGAATGATTTGGATGTCGCGGATAGAGGGAATCTTGCGATACGAACGCTATTCTCATCAGGCTCTGGTCAGATTCTTTCAGCATCAGCTGAAAGTGAAGATCAGAACTGATAGAAAGCGTTTGATATCGACAAATTTCAGCGAAAGGTGGGTGAATGTAGCGAGCTTGGTTTGTGTGAAAGGGGCTAACATTGAGTTCCTTTTTAAGTCCACTTGGTCACAACGGGGCGGTTTCCTGCGACACCTCCTCCTGGTTAAGCTTGCCACTCTTGGTTTTCCTAGTTAATGGGAATAAGTGTTGCTCCTGGCCTGTTCCCGTCACTCTCTTTTGTTAAAATCCATGTCGAGATTCCCAACCTCTCCAATTTGTTTTTGGTCTCCGTTTTCATCTCGGCTGGATCAGACTTTGATTTTTCCCATTCCGCAACTTATCCGACCCCCCCCCTCCCGATTCCATTAGTGAATGTGCTACTTGATTCTGTCTATTGGCAGAATACAGCGGCCACTCTGTTTTGAGGGGCGGACGGGTCTTACTAACATCTGTTTTGTTTTAGTTTGTTTTCTTCCAATTTTAATTCGTTTTCGGGTTTCATTCCCTCCTACTCATTTCAGGCTTCATCAAATTTTTATATATTTTTGTATTTAGGCACTTTGAAATTTTTATATCATGGGATGTTTTTGTAGGTGTCCCCGATGAGTATGTGGTATTGTGGTATATGTAGGATTGAATGAGTTCTTCTGGTAAATGAATCAATTGTATTGGATGAATGGGTCATGATCTTGATTAACTAGGAATAGAATACCAGCCTTTCCCCTTTTCCCTTTCGGCTATATGTCACAATTATTGTATATTGTATACAGTAATAAATAATCCAGGTTTTATCATTTTAAAGCGGTGTTGAGCTTCAGATTTATTGGTAATTTCCGTGAGTCTATGCGTAATTTCCTCCAGTAGTTATATCTTTTAGTTTATCATAGATGTTCAGTTTGTTGCTATTAAGGGTGTTCAATTTTTCTTTGGCTATTTCAATATTTATTTTTTTAACATACAACGTGTGTTAGCACGTGCGATACCCTGACTTCATCAGCCGCCGGCCAGGGGTGATCTCACGGTTTCGGTTGCTATGGCGGGACCGCCACCCCAGGCGCCACCAGCAGCATTTGCCACCAGGCAGGATATGAAAAAAAAAAATTGATCGTTCCTCTTTGCAAATTCTTAATGAAATAAATAAAACGATTGTTCCTCTTTGCAGCTTCTGTCCGTAATGAAAGTTTCCTGAACGCGTTTGCCGTTATTGACGCGCTCGTAAAAATCGTTATAAACGGCTATGCAAATATTTCACCTGCGCATGTTAGGTCGTGATGATGTGCGCATAATATTTCACTAATGTTTGTTCTGATCTTAACTTTCCTTTCTAAATTTGTCGTCGATTTGGTCGTTTTTCCTTTATATGTATAAAACTTATATTATCCTGAGCTTGTCTTGTAATGAAAAACGGTTATAAAATGGTAATAAACGCGTCAAAACGAATGAAACGCCGGTAGCGTGAACTCATGCAAGTGAAACGTGCTTAACAGGATGTTGATCTTGTTTATCTTGGAATTTTCCGTTAGTTGATTAGTTACTAAGAGGAACTAATCGAACAGTTATGGATCTCCCGTGTCATTCTGGCTAGAAGTTAGTAATTTGCATATTTCTTTATCCATATCTGTAAAATAGTTTAATATTGTTTAATTATCAATTAATATGCATTTTCTTTTCTTTTTCTTTTCTTAAATCGCGAGCTTCTCTTGTGCGTCGAAAAATATTGGAAAAGTTACGTCAATCATTTTGTTTATTATTATTATTATTATTATTATTATTATCCTGGTGTATACTTTCCGGATCCCAACCAGAGATCTAAGTTAAGAAATGGCATCATGACATTTTCCACTGAGCATTTTTTGAGCAGAAAAAAAAACACCTAAGATTACACATATTTTACATAAATCCCTTCATAAGACGTGGGCTGTACTTGTGCGTCCAATTTTTTGTACTTCTTTAAGTCATGCTTAGAAATCCTTTTAATAAGTCTATCGGAATCTTTTCCAATCAATTCAAGCGATCTAACTACAACTGGAGATGTTGATGTTCTCATGTGTCACATTTCTGAGATTTCGATTTCAAGGTCCTTGTATTTTGATAGTTTTTTGAAAATCTTCAAAGATACATGACAGTCTGCAGAGGCTGCCAATAAGAAGGCAAATTCTTCTTTTGTGGTCTTTGATCTTTGATGTCAGGGCGATTATCTTTGATTGTTCTGTCTCTGTGTATTGTAAAGTCCCATAAAATTGTTACAGGTCCTATATTATTATTATTATCATCAATAAATAAAAAGACTTTTCATAATACTTATCTAAATAGACTAAAGCTTTCCTTGTGTTAACGCTTTCACATGGTCAATATTCTTCTATTGAGTACATACAGCGTTAACAGGGCAAAATGTTTCGACGGTTTAGATAAGTATACAGGACACTATTCGGAACATACTTATTGACAACGCTAATATAATAGCATCATCCACATGCAAAAAAGGCTAAAAATAATGGAAGCCTTATTAATAAAAACAAACCAACACTTAATATTAACTTTGAACATGGACATAATATCTTGACCGTGTTTTGAAACAAAAAATAAAAACATTTTATAAAACATACATACAACAAACTATTTCTTATTTTAACAGTTAAAATATAATCCTTGAAAATGGCTAAATGTATAGCCGAAAGCGCTCGGATAAAAAGAACATTCGGACAGTTTTTCTATAATTTATCATCGGAAAAGAAAAAAATTATTAGATCGCATGAGAAATTGTATAAAAAAAACTAAATCAAAGCACCTTGTCTGTCGTTTTTAATGAAATGTGCATGAAAGAAAGATTGCTGCCTAAATACACAAATATATATATATATATATATATATAAACTATAGGCCTAAAGTTACGAGACATTCTCTGGATTAAGTAATTAATAAGTTTCATGCCTTCTTTGAGTTAATCAACTATTACTAATCTAAGCTTCTGAGAGTATTTAATGCAGAAGTGCATGGGGTTGAATATTTAAGAGAAAGGATAACGTTAAATTTAAAATCCAACAACCCTAAGACTACCATCAACCAACAATTTGGATTATGCAAAAAGAACTAAAATGTTAATAAAAATTTATGCAGTAATCGTTTAATTTCATTATAATTATTATTATAGAATATATGATAAAACCCGTCAGGAAGATTAGATACCCTCGGCCCGAAGAGTGCTGATAAATTAGTCTCGATAAAGTTACGCAATCTTCAATATTTAGACGATTCTTCAAAATCCAGAGAGTCTCCCCAAAATTTTGACCCCACACGCACAGACGCGCGCACGCACGCACACACACACACAGACACACAGACGCACACAGACACATATATATATATATATAAAACACCTAACAAGAGCAAAAATTAAATTACCTCTACCTACACATAAAATCATAAAAATATGCCCGTTAATCACCAAGCAATGTTTATATATATATATATATATCTCTGTCTATATTTCTGAGATGAGGTAATATGTACAGTATTTACATTAGTCGGACTATTGTCCTCATCTTTGTCGCCATATTCGTCACAACGTTTCGGCCGTTGTACGCTCCGGCCTTCTTCAGATGGTCGGAATTTCGAACTGAACCCTTTATTTCGATCACTGGGGTAGACTGTTCTAGTTCCACGTGCCATGTTTGATGGATGTCAGTTATAAGTTATCTCCTGCTAATTTTCCCTCTGAAAGTTCTCTACTGCATTAACCAGGAATTGAACTCACCTTCTTTGGGTCTGTCACTGGATCTAAAAATCACGCCTTTATCCACTGTGCCATGTGTCCTTGACGACATCTGGGTATGAACTTCTGAGTATTATAAACCTAATGTTTTCAGCATCATTTTTACCAGTGCTCATATTGCAATTTTTGTTGTTATCATTGCATGTCTTTACCAGAGTTCATATTGCAACTTTGTTATCATAGCTTTTCTCTGGCACTCCTTATTACTGGTTCCCATATTGTATTTATTTCTATGCTTGGTCGGCTCAGGACCAGTGATCGAAATAAAGGGTTCAGTTCGA